TCTTTTATTATAGTACTATTGTTGAATAGATGCTCGAAAAAACTCCATTAACATAGTAATGGGTAATTTCCGGGAATGACGACTTAGAGCGTTAATTGATTCTGCACTATTAGACGTCATGAAACCATATCTTGCTCCAAGTTGATGTACTCTTGACCATCTTTCAAATCCGACATCTTCTAGTGTTTGAGCACACTGAGGCAAAACACGTCTTAAACAATTTATATGCTTATTAAAATCCACTTCCCGATAAGCTTTTACAGCCTTCCAGTATGTCCATTTGTGATTTTTTATACCACCAGACCTTGATTTTAGATTTCTATACAAATGAACACCACAAAGTCCATGAAAAGCATATGGGAAACACCTTCTAACAGCGTTGTCAATTGAGTTTGCCCTATCGGATATGATTGTCAGATTGCTAATAAGACCTATGCAATCCCTAAGATGCCCCATAAACCATGTCCATGAATCAGATGTTTCATATTTGCCAACCTCGTAAGCTATTGGCAGTATCCCATTATTAGCATCCATGGCTACTGCTAATAAGTTTACTCCAAGGTATCGACCTTTTAAATGTGCTCCGTCAACTATAATAACTGGGCGCATGCAAGTAATAAACGAACGAATCTACAAAATCATATACACAAGAAATATAATCATTTAAATGTGAAATGCATGTAACTAACAAAAATGAGTCAACAAAATTATATTGATTTACTAACCGCAACACCAATGGCGATAAACAGCAACTCAAAGCGTCCATCTCTATCTATTTTGATATGAGTTACCGACCTATGATTTTTCAGCTTTAAATTTTGACAATAAGCTGGCAGTTGAGCAAACGATGCTTCTGGCGACCCCCTCAACAATTTCAAGGCATAACATTTGGCTCTCCAAGCTTGAGAATATGAGATACTAATCTTGAACCGAGCATTCATGTCAGTCATAATTTCATGTCCCCGATATACCCTGCCATTCAAAAACATTAACTCAGCCAGAAAACCACCCAACGCCTTTTTGTTTGCTTGTCTATGGTGAGGAAAAACTTGGGTTCTTGAACATGTATGTTTATCAATAAAAGTCCTAACTTGAAACATTTCGCAATCTTTTATCCTCTTTGCAATCATACGCCACGTACAATTTTTTTCAATCATACACCTTGTTTCGAAACGATCTTTGCTTGATTTGTTAACTTTTAGTTGATAGCCATATTCCACACATTTCGTATACAAAGCTATCTTCAAGTCTTCCTTTTTATCAAAACAATCATCTTTCTTGATACGAATAATTTTTGTGTAACAATCAACTGCTATCTTTACCAACTCTTCTTCCGGTATCTGAAGTAATTCTGGCATATTCCAGTTATACTCCCGTGGTATTTTCTTCGGGGACTTTTCTTTGGGGATTTCATCTTCTTCTTTTTCTTCTTCAGGGTTATATGAATTACAGAATGAATGTTCAACATGTTCATTTACAGTCGTAACTTCCTCCTCATTATCATCAACAACATCTTCCTTGGCAACGGCTGTTTCATCATCAAATTTCGGGTATTGACCAATATCAAAATCATTACACGCAGGGTCTGTTTCTTCTTCTGAAAGATCATCAAAATCCGAGTATTGACCAAGATCAAAGTCCGGGTATTGACCAAGATCAAATTTCGAATACTGACTAGTACTCACAATTTTTTCTGTTGGCTCATCATCGTCTAACTGGTCAATACGAAAACCAGAATTTGGTGCTGAAAGTTGATTGGGATTTGGATTAGGGAAAGGTTGTGGGTTTTAAGATTGTGTTTGGTATTGGAAATGTGGTGAAACAATATTTGCTTGGTGATGAAATTGTGGTGGAACTATTAAATTTTGAGCACCATATACTGGGGTTGAAAAACTTAGTTGATTACTACCCGCTTCTGACCCAACTTCAATACTTCTAGGTTCAACAACATACAATGTAACATCATCACTTGAAACACTAATGTAAGCAATGAATCGTTCAACATCTTCATTGTCGGTTAACAAATAAACTTTACCATTTCTCTGATAAGATAGCCTAAATCCACTTGGGGGCTCTAAATTCAATTTATTTACAACACGTAACATTAGAGTTTCATAAGTTAACTTTTTTAATGACAGTTTTAGTTGAAGATTCATGGGTAAAGGCATATATTGTAAAACACCATGAACATTCTCCCATGACCCTCCAAAACACAAATCTATCCAAACATGATCAACATTAGATGATTTCATTATTGTAAATTAATTTACTAAACAAACGAGCTGCGAAACTAAAACCTGTTGCCGGATGGGGAAGGATGTCGTTGGATATAGGAACGGATGTCGCCGGAGAGAGTGATAGATGGAGATGGAATGAGTTGCGATTTAGGGATTTAGGTTATGAGTTGTTGTTGCTGCGTAGTTATATACCCAAAACATTTGTGTTGCGAAACTAAAACCTGTTGCGAATTCAGAAATCGAGTTGCGAATTTGAAATTCAGTATTGCGATAGTCAGAATCTCATTACGATAGTCAGAATCTCGTTGCGATAGTCAGATTCGCGTTGCGATTTACGTATTCGCATTGCGATTTACGTATTCGCATTGCGAATTAGGAAAATCGCAACGCGAATTTGGAAAATCGCAATGCGATAGTCAGAATCGCGTTGCGAATCTGGAAACTGATTTGCGATACCGGAGATCGCGTTGCGAATTATCGATCGCATTGCAATTTAGTTGGTTATTTTGGCAAATCCAAAAAAAGTTGGTTAAAATCGTATATTATAAGGCATTTTTGGCCACTGAGGTTATTTTCTAATTAAATAATATGTTTGTTGCACTCTAAATTATATATATATATATATATATATATATATATATATAATACTCGATCTAATTTCCTTGGAAGGGGATGCTCTTCAACCAGGTGAACAATGGACCATAATAGGGAAGTCCAAAAGTTCGGTGTCCCCCAGGCATTGTTGCAAGTCTAACATATCTCCTGTAGTAGCTATGAATGGGGTATTCTATTATTTCTTTGATCCATATTAAATCTGTTGGACTTGTGAAACTTTATATATACAACTTAAATGTTAGAATTTGACTCCAATTTGATTTAATTCAACTAATAAAGATATAAATTAAGAAAAAAAAATATAAAACCTAATTTGATTGAAAGTAGAAAACATATATATTTATCATTAACATAATTTCATAGGATATCACTATCAGTCTATCACAGCATACGGCTCAAGAATTTTGGGTTTCACTTTTATCAAAGTTTGGAAGCTTTAATGCTGGAGGTTAAGGAACAAAGAGTTCCAAAAACAAGGAGAGAAAGGGTTGGGTAAGCAGGCGCCAGGCAGGGCATGGGGAATTCCCGGGTCCCCCCTCCCCAAGTGTTGGACTAATGTCATGTCAGTCTGTTTAAAATATGGATTCATCAAAGCTTTCAGGGATTCTCTTTCAACCTCTACACCTCCATGTTGATATTTTATATATCTGAGTCGTTTCAGTTTCATCACACGATCAATATGCCCCCCCAGGCCACCATTGCATTGCTTCTGCCTGCCTGCACCTTGTACACCTACAAAACACAAACTCTCGCCAAATTCCAGACAGATTTCTGCATCAAAATCAGTTTCTTTTACTGTTGAACAACAGTTTTAGTCAGTCCTAATTGTTATCTATTTGTGTGATTCAACAATATTGAGTTTATATGTATAACACTTCGCTAAAGTTGAAGCTGGAGTTCTTCCTCCATTTCAGAGCAACCATAATGCTTGTAATCTAGTTTAAGACACTGTAGTTGATGGCAAATCCAGGTCTGAAAAACTGAATCCTTAAATCCTGGAGGAGAAGAAGAAAAAAGGGTATAGGGGTCCCCTGCATGTTTTTCTTTAGCATCTAATCCAAACCGGTCCTCTTAGTTTAGACTCTTCCTCATTCATTATTTGCATGTCTTGAGATGCTAATATTTATACCATTGTTTTATATTTAAAATTTACACGAACGAAACGACTTCGATGGTAAATAAATTATTGTTAGTATTTTCAAGTCTTACTTTTTAAGTCGAAATCGGAACAATAAAAAATCTAACTCGTGCCCATCTTTAATCAAGGCGTTGGCACACTATGTCCCAAGACATTGACCACAACAGTCAAGGGATTAAATCTTATTTTTTTGTGTTCCAACGGCAATGAAGAACAAATAGATTTTGAAGCTAAATATGTTATTGAGAATTATTTTTCAACTTGGGTTAAAAAGTAATTTTTAAAAGTTGAAGTTCATAACCTTTTAGCTTTTGTCAAAACATCTAAGTCAATTGCTTGCATATATATATATATATATATATATATATATATATATATATATATATATATTATGTTACAGCTTGAGTTTCATAAATGTTTTGCTTGTGACAGTTTCCAAAGGGTTGGTTTGGTCTAAAAGTTACAGGCAACAGCTACACCAAAAATAATTGGCAGTAAGCAAAAGCTAAGACCTACCACATTACTTCGGTTTGGGTCCTAACTAAAGTAGCATTCACAGTTGAACAATTCTTCAATGCTTGGTGATCATAATACCTGAAGCTGCTCCTTTTCTCTATTTCTCTTGAATGAGAGTAGGTCACATGTTTTCATTGGGATTCAATTCATTACATAGAGGTTTAATTAGATAATAAATGTTTAAATTATAATTTTCTTATTAGGGATTTATTTGTTTTTTTGAAGCAAATATTTAATGATTCATTTCGTAATCATTTTCAGGTAGTTCATTACAAAAATCGTTATTCTTCATTACTAAAATGATTGGCAGCACCAAAAAAAGATGGTGCACAGAAATCAAAAACATGTTTCTCTTTTTTCAAGCATCACATTACGATGAATTTTGTTTTCCAGAACCTGACATTGAGTAAAGGGCTTCCAACGGAATTTGGACAAGAACACTGCAACAACTTGTCTTGTAAATTATTGCTAATTGCTCATGGCTGCACTTTTTCCAGTTTGGCAGCTAGGAATTTGGTTTGTAGTATGCTGTGAACTTCTGGAGATGGGAATTATTGAAAATATACAACCTGCACCTGTTGCAATCGGAAAAAGTCATGTACAAAGTAATTTCAAAAATGAATTTCAAGTAAGAAACTACATCCGGATGGACTGACCATTCTCCAGATTGCGGCCAAAAGTATGTCGTCGTCGACGCCATGGTACAGAGTCCATATGGCATTTCCGCCTGTAACAATTGATGGGTAAGAAGAAGAATAAGCAGCAGATATTCTCAAGGGGGGGAAATACATGATTTACAGCAGCTGTACCTGACCGAGAGAAAAAAAAAATACATCCTTTATCATTTTCCTGAAGGGTGTAGCATAGAATATGGAATTGGTAGAGATCATCTCAAAAGAAACTGAGCTCCATGTGACCGCGGCAACAGTTCTTCGATCTCGATCTTCGCGCTGGAACAACTCGAGTTTTTCCGCATTCGTATACGGTTAATAGACTCAACCTCTGCTGAAAATACACTAAAAACAGGCCTATGATCCGAGAACTTCGACTCCCCACTAACATAAGATAACTGGTAGAGGCCTCTTCCGTACCACAGTATACGATCACACCTTCACAAAAACAAAAAACACATTGCTTTCTTGCTTGTATTATGATGATCAGATCAAACTAAACTTCATGATTCGAATTACCATGCGGGAGTTCTCTTCTCCCCGCTATATCGGTCTGAATTATTCAAATACTTGTATGTCGGAGGGAAATATATTCTTCCTTCACTCCATCCCTCGAAAACACGGCCTCGCCTCTGCTCTATCCGTAGCTGGAAAACCATCAATTTGTCAGACTCGTGTGAATTAAACTCAAAGCTGTAAAAAATGGACATGATACCTGGTCATTTTCTAACAGTGCTTTCCAATTGTGCATCTCAACCAGAGCCTTTGCAAGACCGTACGACAGAGCGATCCGATAATTCAAATCCCCAAGCCATATAATGCGACTGTGTCAGGACATTCAAAACTAATAATTTTATGCCAAAGGCTAAGATTTTGGAAAATAATGCAGTGACTTTACTGGAACAAGTATTGCTTACTCATGCTCTAGAATCGTTTGGGGAGAATTGTCATCTCCCATTGCATGAACCCTGGGAAATCTTGTCTTTCTGAGGATCTCCATAACATCAGAGTTTCGTCGCAGCTCATCGCCTTCCTTTTGCCCCGAGCTTAAATGACTACAGATGAAGCAAAAGTTGGTTTGATGCAAACACATGCTAATAGAAATGGAACCCTGGAAAAAGATTCGAAAAAAATGAGCATGCCTCTTTATTCCACATGAACAAATATTCTCAAATCAGAGGAAGTTTCATATGCAAAAATGTACCTTGTTTCCTAGATAACCCATCAATCCTCTGCCAACACACGACACTTTCATGTTGTGCACATCATCTCTAAGATCACTCTTCACCCACACTGTCAGAAATATCCCAACCATTTGCTTGCTGGCAACCAAACAGTACCTTGAATGCCCCATTTGTCGATTGCTTTCCTCCCTGGGAAAAGATCCACCATACGACATAGGAGAACACTGCGAATATCGAGTGTTACCTGGTGAATCTCCGAGTCCATTCTCGTCATCGGAGATGGAGGAACCCCATATGAAATTAGGGTCATAATCACCAGGTCTACGCCCAAAGATAACACGATCACACGAACTGAATCGACTAACAAGTCGGGGTTGTGACCTCTCAGGGTCATTATCCATTCTCATGCTACGACTTAAGGATTGAAATGATCGCCGGTGGAAGAACAACGAAGCTTTCTGCCTCGTTGATCCTTCGAAGTCAGCATCCAGTTCTACAAGGGGATCAGGTGTGCGGCAACCACCGCTGGTGCTGGGAAGACTATTCAGACTCTTCCTAATGAGAGCTAGCCATTTTCTGGCTGGTCCATTGTCTTCGGTACCCAAAACATTACCAGCATTTAAAGGAACAATTTCTTGAAACCTACAAGGCCAAATTAAAGGATATCAAACTTGTGTTTTCAAGAGAAGAAATCCAGACTAGTTTGGCATACCCGAGAACATAAATGTCAGCAGGAGGAGAGGTATGAAGCCAATCTTCGAGATTCAAATGATTTGGAGGAGTTTTTCCAGCCACATTCCATGTAGCTACAAAAATCCTGCGCCCATATGGAACCAAAAAAACCTCTAAAAACCCAATTCCGATTCAACGATACAACTCAGAACCAGAAACAAATTAACATCACAAGTTCACAACACATACCTATAATTACGCACATCTCTAACTAGTGAGCCATCAAGATCAATCTTACTCACTCGAACTCGATCGGAATACCTCTTGCTCAATCTCTCTAGCATCCATCCATTGATAAAACTAATTAGAAAGAGAATAAAAAAGGAATTGAATGTGCATGGTTCCGAACCTGTTTCACTTTTCTTGATAGTGCATGGTTCCCTCTCCAAGAAGCTGTGTCTCCAATCTTCATCAACATCGGAAAAACAGAAACCATAAACGAATCCAAAATCTAATCATTTTCACTTTCAGAAAAAGAATATCATCTCTGTTTTTATATAGAAGGCTAAAACAGAATAAAAAGGTTTAAAATGCCAATCAAACCTCCTCCATAATCAATATCGTCAGCATGAAAGTCCTCAGCTTTACTCTTGATATTCAACCACTTCTTGACCAATGTCTTGGACCATGAAATCTTCATCAGGGAAAATACACTTTCACATAAACAGCAATCTCGTAGTTCACATAACATGACAGAAGAATCAAAATGAGTTTCTGGCTTGTCTCATTGTGTCACACATTTCATATAGGCTATCCAGAAATATGAGCAGCAATAATTATGATTCAATGAAGTTGCTTCCTTTTTCTCAACTATGACTTGATATTACCCTTCTATGAAACATTAAGAAAAACAGGGCTTTAAAGTTTGAAGTTTTGATCTGAAATTAAATGAAGAAAAAATGGAGTATTTTTGAATGATAGCAAAAGAGATTGAAGACAAGGGCATCCCTTAGTTCCCTTTGGTAATGAAGAAAAAACAAGGGAGGGAACAAAGGGAGTTCTGGTGTTTCATCTGCATTACCATTTGATGTTTAAAAAGGAGAAATTGAAACCCAAAAATGTCCAGTTGGAGGTTCCCCCGGTACTTCTTTCTTTGGTCTTTCACTTATTAAGTATTTTCTGCTGGAGGAGTTGAAGAGAGAAAATGGAACAAGACAAAACAGAAGAAAGTGTGGGACTACAACTGAAGGTGGAAGACTATCAAGAGATCCCGGGGTTAGCCCAATCCATTTTTATTTATTATTTTTTACAACTTCATATTTAATGTATTACTTTTACTTAATTTTTAATAACTTTTAGGGTAAACTGCAGAGTTTGTCACTTTTATTTTATTTTTTAATATAAGATCACTCGATTCAAAAAAATTACTCGATTCAAAAAAATTAATTTGTAATCATTTTTATTTTGTTTTAATTAAAATGTGGTCATTGAAATATTAAATTTCGTTAATTTGATGATGTTACACGTTAGTAAAATGATTTAATTTATATTTTAACCCTTGAATTTTAGATAAAATATTAATGATGGATATTTTTGTAAACCCAAAATAATTTAGGAACAAAAAATTTAATTTACCCCTTTTTTTAATATGTTTTCTTCCCCTACCCCATCATCTTGTTAGATTTTTCACATTGCCACTCTCTGCAAAAACTTGGAGAAAATGGCGAGAACTGCTCTCTTACACCTGCTAAGATCTCAATCCAAGCCACTCATTTCGAGAAACATCCATTCAGGTTCTTTTTCTATCTTTATTTCGGGAAACCCGTTTTGTGTTTCTTGTTCATCTCCTTTAGATGTCGAGTTTGAATACTTAATTCTAATATCCCCGTTCGTCTAAAAGCTTAAAACCCATATTTGTTAATCCAATTTCTGATTCTATTGTTTGAAATTTAGTATTTTTCCTTCGATTTGGGAATTGGTTTTATTAACAAATTACACATACATAAATGGAAAAGGATTGGGTTTTTTGTTGTCGTTGAGGTTTGCCATCTTTCTTTTTTTTAGTTTAACTTTTCTGGGTTTTTTATTTGCAATTTTAGTGTTAAAAACACTCAGAAACCACAATGGGTTTTTGGTCATGGAAAGTGGGTTGAAGCTGTGATTTGCTTATCTAATGGAACATGTCCAGCGGCGCAAGAAGATGGTTTGGGGAAGAAAACATATTAAAAGAAGAGGTAAATTAAATATTTGTCCCTAAATTATTTTGGGTTTACAAAAATGTCCATTAGTAGTATCTTATCTAAAGTTCAGTGGTTAAAGTAGAAATTAAACCATTTTACTAACGTGACACGTCATCAAACTAACGAAAGTTAACGTTTCAGTGATCATACATTAATTAAAACAAACGAAAAATACTACAAATTAACTTTTATGAATCTAGTGATCATACGTTTAAAAAAAATAAAACAAAAGTGATCAAATATGTAATTTACCCTAACTTTTATTAATAGAAAATAGAGCATAGGTTTATGAAATGAGATTTACCCACTCATGAATTAGAACGATTGAAATAACCTTTGATGATGTATCTAGACACATATAATTAAACCAACATTTATAAATCATTACTCCCTACATTATGCAAAATCAACTTAAATGAAATGTTGCTTATAAATGTTTGAATTATTATCTTATAATCACTCTAAATTATTAAAAAAATAAAACAAAACTATTAATATCGGTATATGTCATTCATTATCGACCTTTAATATTATACGTCAGTTCTAAATATATCTGCTGGTTATCGTATTGATTAATTTTGATTATAATCATATAATTCTTTTTTCTTTTCTTAGCGAAGTAGTTGCTTTGTGTTCTCCCAGGATGAGGAATCCACGCCATTCAAATTCCCACCACTCTCTCTGGACAATATTAGTTAAGGTTCCACCATGCCTGCAACAATGTTGTAGCCATTTTTGTCCAAATCAAAACTTGTCAAAGTCGACGTGGCATCCATCTAGCGACGCAGAGGTTTAGGGTTTAGAGGAGTTGAGAGCATAGAGTTGGTGCAAGTTTAGGTTTTGTAATTGTTGACGATGACTGCCTATCTAATCAAAACCTAAACTACCATCCATATTTAGGGAACTAACCATACCATATTTCGGGAACAATAACGTTGAACAGACATAAATGATTAGTTGCATCGGAAATTTCAACTTGGCCGGTCCAATGAGATTTTCGTCAACTTTAATTAATTATAGCAAAAAAGAAAGCATTCGTTTCGGGGTTTTTTTTACCCAAATACTTATAAACCTCATTTAAAAATATTTTTTCATTATGACATCATCTCAAGATTATTTTCATGATTAACATCTTTTTATATTGTGTAGGATAAAGTTGTGTTATGTGAAAAGTTCTTTTAAAAGTGTGATATGTAAACTACATCTTCTACCTATACAGCGATAACACAAATATATATTGGATTAAAATAAAAGAAAAAAATTATACAAATTTCATCAAAAATATATAAATGGTGCGTGTCAAAGACGTATAAGTGGACGTGCACGCACGGCCTGAGTGATGATGGTAGCACGTGCGTATTAAACTTATGTTCAATCATCGAATAAATACATGTTTAAAGGGCTATGAATTTTTAAATCTCGTATTGTTCAAATATGTAATTTATCTTTTAAACATACATTTAATAAATTATTAAACATAAGATTAATACACATATTGTTTCTATGCTTGGATTGTGTGGGCCTTCAATGCACATATCATGTGTTTGTTTGTTTGTTTTTTTGGATAAAATTTATATATATTTTCATACTTTTAGCTCATTTTTTTTCTTTTTCTTTCATTTCAACCCAATTTCAAGAGTCCTAACTGTTTTTGCCACATCAACAGAAGGCGATTCGTGCAAAAAGTGTCTTCAGTTCACGTTGCATAAAAGGGTGTCAATTCAAAAAATAATCGAAATTGAGTGTTATATTAAAAAAAATGATTTTAAATAGATCATATTTGAGTAAGAAAGCCATCGCGTTCTTTTGATGAACAATTATATGCTTCCTAATTTATCGTTTTGAAAAAAATAGTATAAAATTTCAATCATGCCATATATATCGACAAATATGTCTAAATCTTGGGTTAATTAAGGGACATTAATTTGGTAATAATTATTAAAAGTGGTCATGAATAGAAAACAAAATAAGACATGGGTGGTAATAGATACATAGAATCATAAACATGGCAGGTGAAACTCGTATATATATCCCCACAATATATATGGTAGATATGCATGGAAATGGTCCCTAGTCCTCCCATTGGTCATTGGTAAGTGCACCATCCTGAATTCTATATTTGTAAAAAGACGGATTCTCCATGTTTTGAATTTTCCGGTATTCTTACAACAACTTCTGCTAATAAGCACCGACAGGATAAGCTTCCACTCTCATTTGATCACACCTTGATGTTAATGAACAGTTGGATTTTAAAATCATGGTGAAAACTTGTAAGTTATAGTCTTTGTTTTCAAGTTTATGGTTCCAAGACTAACATTGAAATCAGGGCTGGTTCCAGGACATACAAGTCAACAGCTTTGTCTTTTGGAACCGTTGATGTAAAGCTCAGACCAAAATCGATAAGGACCTAGCCCAATAGACCAGAAGCTAATGGAGCAAAATATATCAACTGACAAGCTGATTTCTTATAAACCCAGAAAACAAGAAAACAACGCATACAAATTCATGAACGTTCTTATAAACCAAAAATAAATAAATGTATACCTCAAAATTTCACAAGTTCAATCCACTTATATGATGTAAAACTGTTTTAGTGATTAAATTTAGAACCGTTGGATAAGTGAAAATAAACGACTGAGATTATTTCTTTTTTTTAGTGAATATGTTCTCATTCTAATGCTTGCCAATAAACTCGACAACATATCGAAATCTTGGGTAATACATTCTGCAAGTGACGATATTCAACTTAGTTAAGATTCGGTACAAATACATAATGAAGCCCCATTTTATGCAAAGATATGTGTTACCAGTGGTGATGTTTCATATTTTTCCATAATGCAGGTAGGGCTATTAAACTTACCAGTAAGATCACTATTAGTCAATAATGTAAGATAAAAATTATTATACCCGTCGTAAAACCGCCGATCAAACTTCAGCGAAACTAAGATTGGCAAAAGGCATGTACGTCACTGCAGTATATTTCCCATAAGCATATATAAAAGCTGTTGACATCACACTTCTTATTGTAAGGGTTCTATGATAGAACAATAAACAAATGAATATAAACTAAACAAGTGTGGAAATTGCATTCAATGTGAACCAAATATACTTATTTTCGGTGATCTCCACTAATAGACTTAAGTACATTTTCATGAATAAATTTTTCTTATTTTTAATGATTTGGCACGATAATCTTGATTAGATTATATATATTATGATTTAATTTTAGCGGGAGAGACTTGAACCGTGGATTTAATGTGAAAAGCGCCTTTCAGAGTCGTTGGTCCAAATTCCTAAAGGCTTTCCAATCCCCGTGAATCTGTATGCCAGCTCCCCGTCGGTGAAGTCGTTTCGAAGTGATGAGTGATCAATACAGAGTAGTCTTGTTTGGAGAGGGAATGGGCGAAACTTTTGGAGAGAGCATTGACGCCAATAACGACATTGTTTCAAAGGATGGAACTTGGCAGAAAAGCGAGAAGGAAGTGTTGATAAGCATCGATCACTATTATATAGTAATAATTTACTACAGTCTGGGTTTCGTCAATTTGAGCAGAGGACTTGGAGTTCGGGGTGCGTGTTGGTCGAGGAACAATTTCCAGCGTGCGCAATGGGCATGGATAATTTTTTTTCCTGCTGTTGTTTTATTCCACTTGAAATAGCTACTGGACCGTCTTTGGGCTTACTACTACCCGTACAATTTACATGCGGTGGAAGAGAGGTGGGCCACTTCATGATAATAGCTTCTAGAATCTTCCATGTTGTGGCTGAATCAAGTAGAGACCTTTCCAAATTCTTCTATTCTTGAGTGGTAGAGGGTGGTCCCGGATTAGCTGGATTACTTATTGATGCTCCCCATTAGGTTCCCAGGATTGCCCCCATTCTACCTTATCTGTATCACGTTGAAATTTTTTATCCAATTTAGTATATCCATTCATTGGATATAAATTTAATTGGA